TTGCTTTTTTGGGATTATGATGCTTTTATAGTAAATGCGCGATGCACATATATGTACATATGTATGTGTTAAATATATGTATTTATATGTTTTTATTGAAGACTGATAAGTTAAAATTTTTTTTACTTATCGTAATTTCCTACTGGGTTGCTCATGCGGAGCAGTTCTCTTGTTCTCACCAACACAGAGTGAAAGCGCAAACAGTCAACGACGTAACGTAGACGTAGGTTGACGCAGACACGATCTACCTTATGGTACTCGCGTGTTAACGAAAACTCACCACCGAATGGCGGTGAAGTTGCCGTTGTTTCTCTCTCTCTCTATCAACAGTAAATTTTATATGCTGCTACGTACGTCAACCTACGCTTACGCTACGTCGTTGACTAACTGCGCTTTGAGACTTGAGATTTTGGGTTTGTGAAAAACAAAATTACTGGCGCGCTTTAAGGAATTAGCCCAATATCCCTTAGGCTAGCGATGGGCAGAATGTGCACATACGGGCAAAATGCCCAAACATGCTAACCGCGGGCAAATGGGCAAACCGTTGGGTTGAGGCGGTGCGGTAATTATGCCCGGGGGGGGGGGGGGAGGATCACAAAAAATTTTGCACGAATAGCATCTGTATGTGTGATGGGAATGAGAGAACAAGTATATGTGAGTTCTCACGAATGTGAGACCCCTTGGCTGCCAATGTTCCTAAAAGCACCAAACCTTGGGACAAATCAAAACATCATACATACTTATGAGTATAAAAAGATTTTCGTATCCAGAATAAAATGCACTAAATAAGCACTGAACATGGCGGGAAAGGTATTCTAATAGTATTTTATAGTTGTCGTATATTTTTAGGTATCTTCGGCTCAGCTAACATGAAAAAAGCTGCATGTATGCATATCTACATATTTTTGATGATTTGAAGATTTTAATTTTTAACGATGCAAAGTGAAGTGTATGTATATACATTTTGATTAAATCAAAGGTGTATATTTAATTTGACAGCACTTGTGCAAATGCTTTTTTTTTAATTGCAGGTATGTACATAAAAGTGCAAATAAGTTTTGCATTGACTACATTTTACAAACTCCAACGAGCTCAACAGTCACGAAAACGAAGACGACATTCTTATGACAATTTTTATACATTGTTTAATGCCACAAAATCCCAACACTGGCTATAAAACCACATAAAGAAGTTCCAATTTTGTTTTTGTTAAAAAACTGATGGTCTTTCATAAACATATGATCTATAATTTTATCAAATAAAATTTAACTGCTAAATTATAAAAGAAACTTTTTTCATAAGAGTTTAAGATTTAGCAGGATCCTTGCGATTTTTGTTTATTAATCTGGCGGGACGGCAGAAAGAGAAATGGCAACACTGGTGGTGAGTACCGACTTGCTTGCGCGCATATTAGCTGTTTTGTAATTCACTTTTGCATTGTCAGCGTGCAGTAGGGTTCAATCGATACCACTAAAGTATCACTCTAATGAGTACTTGTACTCAAAAGACTGCAAGTATCGATACCTACTCAGTATCGGCAAAGTATCGAGTACTTACATGAATTCTTTGGAGAGATACTTCCCTTTTTTGTTGTAAAGTCGTATGATTACGTCTTATCATGATTTAAAACAGGGATGGGCAAATTTTTGACTCTTAAAGCCGTCAAAGAGCCAGCACGTGCTACGCAAGAGCTAAATCAGTTCTTAGGGTAAAGGGGTGTCCAAAATACATTAAAAGCATCATATATATTAGTAATGAGAGTCGGAGTACAAGAAATTTGAATACGCTCTTCTTCCCCGCTTCATGCTGGCTCTTGATGTTACCCCTCATCTACCATCTAAATGTGCCAAGCCAGCTCCTAAGTGCAAAAGGCTTCTGGGAGCCACTTTGCCCATCTCTGGTTTGTATGTCAAAATCAAATAAAAAGCCAATAAAGTTGCAGGTGTAGAAAACGTGTATATTTAAATTATTTAGTGAGAATACAGAATAATGATTAATTAGTATCTGAGGCACATTACCAAGGAACAGTATTGGTTATAATTTTTTCAGTCATATGGGTGTATAGGTCACCCAATATGGATAAGTTTAGAATTTTTATTTTGGTTTTTATTTTCAAATTAGTTTTATTCACTTTTTTATAAATAATATAGTTCGTTCCATAACAAAAACCTTGTTAATCCAAGTTTAAAACTTTGTACAAAAATTAAAAGCAATTCAACAAAGTTTCATCAAAGAACGTAAATAATAGGAAGGGACAACTTGTGCCTTCTCTTTTGCGCTAGTACGTTTTCATCAATATTCCACACATTTTATTCTGAATAAAAAGTGTTTAATTTTGGTAAAACTTTGATTTTCTTTTAATTTTTGTACAACATTTGAAACTTGGATTTACATGGTTTTTGTCATAGAATGAACTATATTTTTTATAAAAAAGTAACTAAAATTAGTTTGAAAATAAAAATAAAAATCCGACACTTATCCATAAGGTCACCTCTATAAGTATACAGCACACTGCATCATTTACAAACTATTTATGAACAAACATTGTATTGTTTCTTTTAGTACATTGCTGAGGAACAATATTAGTTATAATTACATATATGAATTTATATAAGTATATTATTCTCGAAATATTTATGAAAAAAATAGCTTTTGGGGCACACTGCCAAGAAACAACAACTTTTCTAAATGCTTTACAGACAAGCGATTTCTACTTTCTGTACTACATGACCGCACTTTCCGCGAAAACTCTAATAACGGGCGTCATTTGTTGAGTTTCCGTTGCAATGATAAAAGTAGTAGAAATTACACTTTCGATACCAAGTACTTTTTTTTCGAAACTTACTTGATACCGAACAAAAAGGTAACGAGTAAAAAATACTTGGTATCAAAAGAAAAGTATCGAGTATTTACTTGTATCGATTGAACCCTAGCGTTCAGTTGGTTGCAAATTTTCAAAGGGAGGGGCTGTTCTTGCGCAGATAATTTTTCGTTAGAAATTTGCTTGGAAAAAAGGATAATCATGCGCAAAACAACATTGTTATATGACGGTTTCTACCGACTGAGCCAGTATGAATTAGCACATACTATTTTTTACATATCTATAATCAATTTAAACTTTATTGATTCATTAATAAAAAAAATTAAATCGGTCCGCATTTCATGATGTTGAATTATTTTTAATAAATGGACTACAAATATACCCTACCAGTGTTACCATTGTGCGACTAAAGTGCCAAATTGACACTTTTTGGAGTTCGATGCCCTTTGATTTATTTTGACACTTTTCCGAAAAATCATGTGATTTTCCCCTTTCTGTGATTTAATATTCAAAGACATTTAAAAATTACACCTCTGGCCAGATTTGGACTGATTTCAGCCTCTTTATTATGTCAAATATTTTCCGAATAAATGTCCAGAAGTAGCATGAATTAATGCACCGTTATTGGAGCTTAGCATTTCCCCCAATTTATTTGTGTTAAATTTATTATTAATGATTTATGTACTATTTTTAACTGTAATTTTGTTTTCATACTAAATGCAAAATATGCATATCGCGTCTTTTTAATATATCCCTCATCAATAGGTTATTGTTTTAAGAGAAAAAACTATTTTTGACAATTTATTCAAAATAATGGGGTGTAGTCATAGATGAAATAAAGTGTACCCTAAGCTGCTTTTTTTGGCAGATTTTCCGTTAAAAAAAGCTAAAACTAGCGTTAGAGTAGATTTTATTTCGACTATAAATATGCCCTACCGAGTTCCGAAAGATAAAATAATGAAAGTCTTTATATACATGGTATAAACGATTTGAATGACTTGAAGACACTTTTTTCGGCTGTGACACTTTTTTGCGACTTTCGAAAAATTTTCAGCGGTAACACTGATCTCTACCTTAGGCGGTTACTGAGCCAATCAAGAAACAGAATATGTACACAGTTAAATATACATGGAAATATTACGAAATAAGGCATGCAAGTTGAGTTGATGGAACTGCATCAGGATTGAGTTGTCTTCTCTTGGCATTTGAATAATTGATTTAACTCGATTTGGAGTGCAAAGCACAAATCCTGGATGATGCAGTCAGTTGAACACCACACGCATTTATCGATTTCCTTTCCTGTGTAACATCTTTCGGCATAATAAGCACACCTTCCTCTTTATTGTGGGTAGTTCTGCATAAGCAGCTTTTTATTTTCCAAAACAAACTATTTTTGGAATTGTAATAAAAAAAATTTTGATTTGAAATACATTTATAATGTTTCTACGGGAAAATTGGTTAATGCAATGACAAATATGTTATCAAATAAGCGTATCGAAAATAAATATGGCATATATTGATTTCACTTTGTTTATTACACTATGCTACGTAGTAACTACAATGTTTTTTATTATGAGAGTGACTACGATGTGTGTCTCTAGCATAAGACGCTTGAAATTTTTATGAAAATTTGTTGAATTTTGTATAAAGTTTGAATTTTTTTTATATCGTTTTGGGTAGAGCTTGGATGATAATTCTATAGAAAAATAACCAAAAAATTATAACTGGAAAAACATACGAATATTTAACAAAAGTCAACACGTGATCTCTTGTTTGAGTCACTGTATATTAAATTTGTTAGTATTTTTCGCATGCATCGTAATGTAGAAATATTTACATACTTACATGGGCGTAGCCAGGTAGGGGCAGGGGGTGCTCGAGCCTCGCGTCCCCCCCCCCCCCCCCCCCCCCCCCCCCTAACTTTCAAATTTTCCTTATATATATATAAAATAGTACCCTGAAATGCCAGCTTAATAGGGTCGAGCCCCCCTAAATTTCATTCTGGCTACGCCGATGCATACTTATATACATGGGTAGGTACATATTTACATTGGTGAGTGGTATGCAAAACAAGGCAAATAAAATGGCATTCATTAAAAAAGGTATGTGTATGCGACACAAGTGACTTAATTTACTTTATATTAAACCTAGAAGGTAATGAGAGTGTAATTATGTATGTGATAAAACAAACCGTTTTCCATATCCAACGGCGGTCCGTCAACTGCTTCTCCCAAGCGTGGATCACTGACTGTAAAATATATCTCCTGACTCACGCCACTTGGTATGGCACCTGGTGGTATCTGCAGTGAAACATTCCAAACATTATCAGCTAATGTTCCTCCGTTTGAATCGAAAATTCCACGAGTGGTGGCTGGCTCTCGAGGATTGGATGGAAATGTTTCTGTGGGCGAAACGCCAGCAGCAGCTGGCGTAGACAAGGATACTGGGCCGGCAATTGGCAAGGACATATTACTAGTGTATGGTGTACTACTTGCTTTGGGCGGACCAACAGGTAAACTGCCTTGAGATGTGTACTGGGTTTCGAGAGATGTGCTACTTTCGGCTTTTGCAGTGTTGAGTGGAGGGCCAGTATGCTTTAGAATGTTTGAAATATGGAATGATACGCGCGGAAAGCGATTGTTGCTGATTTGTGTTGGCTTTTGTGGATCCAAAGGTTTAATCGGTGGTCCTTCTATAACTAAAGGTGAACATATTAAAGTGTTTGCTTCAAATACTTTATCTGAGAGTTTGGAAGTCTCCTTACATAAAGTTTGCAATGCAATATCATTGTTTTTGTCAGAGAAATTAGAAGGTTGATGTGTTTTTTTCACCTTCGTCATCGCCATCTTCCAAGTCATCATATACATCCTCACCCTGAACAAGTGGCGCTTTGCCTATTTGTAAGTTTTCGGATTGTGTTAATGTATTTGCTATGACTGTATCGGATGACTTTTGTAGATCCGATTGACTTAAACTACCCTCACTCTGATTAATTTCGTAAGCAGTACTTTCTGTCTTCTCTTCCTTTTTCTCATCAGTCTCATTTTCATTAGATTGTAAAACGTTTTCTTCTTTCGATTCGTAGATGGGCTCCGGTCGACCAGCACCCTTCTTCCTTGACACATATATGGGTTCAGCCATGCTATCTAAGGCTTCCCTTCGAGTTTGGTAAATTTGTTCTCTCAACTGAGCACGTGTCTTTAACGCACCCTCCTGGACTTCCCGTCTACTTTGGTAAATGGATTCACGATCTGACTTGTCATCGCGCTTTGGTTTACAATGGTTCAAGTAATTTCGATTAATTCGACTTTGTACTTCTCTGTGTGATTGGTCAACCGGTTCTATGCTTTCATTTGGTGAAGCGATATATAAATGTCTTCTTGTCATAATATCTGAATTTGGGGCTTTAAGCTGATTATGTAACATAAAATGATCAAAAGTTCTTTCGTATATTTCTTCTTGGCCATAAACCGGTTCAGTTGGTTCTGATATTAGCCGCTTGTTGATCATGCGATCGGCAGCAGTAGTACTATGACGCCGTATTAGTCTACGACCATTTCGATTCGAAGCTGCAACTGCCTCTGCTTGCCTTCGCTCCAGATCAATAAAAGCTCTATTTGCATATAAATCTTCATAATTAGTAGTGTTATATTCTTCCTGTATTCCTCTTTGCATATGAAGCACTGCCCCC